CTCGCAGCGCCAAGCTGGCCGGCGAGCCCTGCCAGCAGCCAGGGAGAGGAAATGAATCCCCAGGCCCTTCGGCCACAACGCCTTTAGAAGCTAATGGGGAAACTTGATTAAAAAATAATAACGGCGATAAAAAAGGAGACAAGCAAGCCGCCTTGGAAGCCGTTCAACTGCGAGCGCCGCGAGCGCGGGAGGCCCCTTCGAAGGCAAACACCAGCCGGCCTCCCCCGGCCGCGCGGCGCGGCGGGTCGCAGCCATCGGCCCTGCTGAGATCCAGCTCTGGGTCGCTTCTGATCAAAACCAGCCCCCGCCGGCTCTGCTGGGAATGAAGCACATCCCCTCGAAGCCCTTCGCCAGCATCAGTTCCTGCCTGGCTGGCGAGGAATGAAAGCGTTTCGCAGGAGCTGCCGGTGCCGCTCCCCAGCAGTTTTCCTCCCTTGCAGCCGTGGATTTCTCCAGCGCCTGCCCGAGGCTTGCCCAGCGGTGGGATCGGGATCTTCCTAAAAGCCTTCTCCCACTCGTCCCCTCTTTTTTCCCCTGGGATGTGCCAGATGAGGTGACACTGCAGCCCCAGGGGATGGAAACCACTGTGTGCATGCTGTCCTTCACACCAAACCTGTCCATCCATCCATCCTCTGCTCCCCTGCACACGGGTGCACCCACACGAGGTGGCAGCAGGAACAAACCAGCCTCCAGAGGGCAAAGACACCTTCCAGCGAGGTGTTCCTGTCGGGACAGGAGCGGGCTCATCAGCCTGAGTCATGCCCGACACAGCCAGCCCCCAGCACACCTCGCTGCAGGCACAGCCAGTGCCAGGACAGAGCGTGCCAGCTCAGGTGCCTCGCGCACGTAATCCCCTGCAAGCAACCAAAAAAAAAAAAAAAGGAAGGAAGGGAAACTATCAGATTAAAGAAACCACAAAACCTGTCCCTACATCTCCCCATCCCCGCCGTCTCTGGAGGGGACCGATAGGAAGCCAAACATCCTGTGCACACAGTGCGTATCGCGTGGCGGGGACGCGGCTTATCGCCTCGTTCCTCTCCCAGCCTGCTGCAGCTCCCCGGGCCCGGCTGCACGTCGGGAGGAGAGGTGCCAACAAGCCGCCAGCTCATACCGACCTGCTCACTCACCCTAGCGAGGAAAGAAAGCTGCAGCCGTGCTGCTGCCAGCCCAGATGTCCCCCAACGCCTTGCCTGTCCTGGTGGAGACACTTCACCAAAAATAAAAAATAAAAAACAAGTCATCAGCTATCCCCTTCCTCATCCAGCCTTGATCTGCCCTGCTGAAGGCCCAGGGCAGGGGTGCCAAAAGCTCCTTCTGCCTCTCCCCCAGCTCCCCAGACTGTGGTGACCCTGAATTAGCCCTCGCCACCCGCCAGGCTGGAGCTCTCCCCCACCCATTAGGAGCCTCCTCCCTCCCCAAGGGGGACCTGGCTTTCCGGACCCCCCTGCAAGTTTGCCAGGGCTGCTGGGGCAGCACCAGGGGTGGTGGGACCCCCATCCGACAGCCCGTGACACGCTAATCCCGGGATTAGCCAGAGTTCAGAGGTTAATTACAAAGGTGTGGAGAGGGAGGGAGGGGGAAGAGAAGAGGCCATGGGAAGACCCAGAACGACTCTTCCATCCAAAAAGCAATCCTGGACGCAGGTTGGCTGCATTTTCAGAAAGAAAATGGGGAAGAGGACATGATCCTTTGCCTGGGGCCAGAGGGGCTGGTCACCCCAATTCCTGCCCCATCTCTGGTCCGCCACCGAGCATGCACCAGGACCCAGCCCATAAAACTGGCACAGCCTTCCCGCAGAGGTGTGAGGTGATTAAACCTGCTTGGGACCCCTCACGGCTCCAGCACTACCCGGGAACATAAACTGGGGACGTGCAGGGCAGATATCTCGGCGGGGGGGCGGCGGGATTTACGAGTCTTCCCACCCAGTCGGACGTCTCCAACGTCCCCGCAGCACAGAGAGGCTCCACACAGGGAGACCTGAACGGGCTCCCAGGCTGCCAGCAGCGTAAACGCTTCGACCTCAACTCATTATCAGCAAACATCACTAATTCGCTCCATAACAACCATACCAAGTGTGGTTTTCTGGCTTCCAGGCCACAAAGCAGCTATCTCCGCAGGACACAGCTCTGGATTAAGCAGCTGTATCCACCCGAAAAGAGATGCCCAGGTGCTCCGTGGGGCAGGAGCAGCCCCTGTGCGACCCTACAAACCCTGCTGATCCCAAAAGGGGCATCGGGGGCCCCTCCGGGTGGGGGCTCCAGGCAGCAGCCCCCCGGGGAGCCAATGCTGTCGGCCCACCAACAGGTTCCTGGCGTGCCCCTCTCCCGCCCCGTCACCACCGCGTCCCCAGGGATTTCCTCGGAGATGTCATTAGTCAGAACCAGCAGCATGCGACCGCACATCTGGAAAGAGTTAGATGACGCGAGCCCCTGCCAGCTGTCTTCGTTTAGGTTTGTTCATACTTGGAAGCGCCGTGCAGCGTGATCTGTAAAATAAAAAGCCGCACTGATTGACATGAGCCCAGGGTTTCCTCCGAGACGCTCCCTGCCCCCCTCGCCTCCGCCCGGGAAGGCAGCGTTAGCGCTTATTGCATCCTGGACACTGGAGGAGGCTGTGCAAAAACCACGAGGGCACTGCAGTTAGCCATCGCTTTTCTTCTTGCCAGAGCACCACCGGCCCCAGCTGGCACCAGGGGCAGCCCCGGTGACACCGCTGAGCCTTGCCACCCAAAGGGGACCCCGCTGGGAAGCCCAGACCCGTCCCTGGGGGCTTCAACCCCCTGCTGGGTACTGCAGCACAGAGGGACTTGGGGGACTTGGGTCTCTGCCCCTGAGCGCAGCAGAATCAGAGAATGGTCTGGGTTGGAAGAGACCTTGAAGATCCTCCAGTTCCAGCCCCCAGAGATTTACAACCCCAAATCCCAAACTGGGAGATCTGACAATGCCCAAAGTCAGTCAAAGGAGGCTATCAGAAGAGCACTGTCAAAGCTTCACCAATTCCTAATGGGATTGTCAACAGCGTTGGGTTCAGCCATTCCCAATCTGGGAATCCCAGTCCCACACACGGAGCCAGGGGCTGCCAGGAAAGCAGCTGATCCATTTCAGGATCTCTGGGGTTGGATCCGTCCCGTGCAAAACCAAGCAGGAGCAGGATGGGAGCTACCACCCGCTGGGATGGAGCCCTGCGCCCCGAACAAAGGGACTCTGCCGTGCCAGGACGTGGCAGGGCGGTGGGGAGGAGCGATGCTGGGAGCAGACAGACCCCCCCCCAAGAGCTCTGTGTGTCCTCACGGCCATGCACAACCTCCCTCTGCTTCCGCAGGGCACGTGCGACCTGCCCAAAAGCAGCGAGGGGGGCTCGAATCAGAGCCCGGGCTATCAGCTCATCTGTGTGACACGCGATCCCCCAGCAAAGCTGCCAACGCTGGGCCCCAGCCAAGGGCTTGCGTTCCCCGGGACATGTCTTCAATTAATGTCTTTTCTTCCCCGTTTTTGTTTAAAATTGGGGTTGAGCTGCTTCTAAACAGATGTGTTGGGGCAGCCAAAATATTTGCCTTTCTGCTGGCTGCTTGTTTGGCATCCGTGCACGGCCGATGCCAAAATATTCCTTCCTCCCTCCCACCCGCGGCGAGGATATCAGTTCAGGGGAAGGGGATGCCGGGAGGGGGGCACCCTCCTCACACACACCCAGGGAGCCAAATTCAGGCAGCTCCCTGCTGTCCCCACATCTCACCTGCATCCCAGGCCTCTGCCACACTCGCTGGATGCTGCAGATGAGACACCGCAGGGCGAGCAGCACCAGAGTGACGCAGAGGACGAGGGGGAAGCCCCTGCCTGAGCAGCACCGTCCCAGCCCCCCCTGCACAGACACAGACCCCTGCAGAAAGCTGCGGCCAGTTTTGGGGTTGGGAACAGGGCTGGCTCGGCAGGCACATGGTTTCAGCTCCCTGGCACGCTCTTGCCACCCAGGGGGGGTTAAACTCAAGCTCCTGCCCACAGGAGTGCTCTCAGCGAGGCTCCCCGAACCGACACGCCGGCTTGAGCCTGCAGCAAGCTGATAAGCAGTGGAGAGGGCGTTAAACCCTCCGCTACGCTCAGCAGGTCCAGCCCCACTCCGTCACGCACCTGGGCGCCCATCCACCGTGCAGACAAGCGTTGACGCCAAAGCCTTCAGGCTACAAACGCTCCCGGCACATCCTCTGGCCCAGGTCTGAGGGGTCGTGGTGGCACACAGCTGTTTCAGCAGGTCCTTTTGCTAAGTGATAAGAGAAACGCTGCCATCGGTTCACCCCAACCCCAGGCTGAGCCATCCTCACCTCCTTCCACCTTTTCTTTTTCCTCTCTCTTCACCCAGGGTCATCTTCCCTCACTTGTCACTGCCTGGGTCTGGATGCTCAGGGTGGACCCGGATCCCCTAATGCCAAAATGCACCCTTCAGGTCAATCCCAGGGCCCCACCATCAGCAGTTTGGGTCCCACTCGTGATTTTGTTCTCCCTGGTGGCTTACACAGCCACAACACCCTCAGAAATCCACAGCTCAGCAAAGCAGGAGAGGCAGGAGCTGACCTGGGATATGTCTCGTGCTGTGCTCTCACATAGTTTTTTTGAGCTTGGGTGCCACAGTTTTGGACCCAGGTGCTTCGAAGCTTCCCTTGATCTTCCTGGAGCTCCCACAGCTCCCAAATATTCAGCATACGGGGACCTGTGCTGGTCAGGGAGAGAGGACAGCAGTGTGGCAGCCTCAGCCACAGAATTACATCCCAGCAACACCCTGCAGTCTCCACAGGAGTGTCTGGTGAGGAGGGAGATGGTGGCAAGGCCTTGCCTGTTCCCCACTCACCACCAGCTCACCGCTGCCCCAGACAGACTGACCTCCGATGAGAGCTCAACCCCCCCCAAAATCCAGCAGGATGAGATGAATTCCTTCCCTCTTAGAAGAAATGTCTCACTGTGCAGCAAGATTTCCCCTCTTTCCTCAGTACCTGGGCTCCAGGCCTTCGATTGCCCAACGCTTGTCTGAAGGGCTTGAAGGGAGGGGGGAGGGAGGCTGAGCTAATCATCAGTGTCCTCAGAACTGATGATTATCAGTTCTAATCATCCCAAAACGACCTCAAAGATGTCATGAAGGCCTGTTGCCCGAGTCACCGCCTGCTCGGCTCACCGTAGTCATACCGTAAACATCCCAGCCAGCAACGCAGCAACGTCACCGCCGAATACCCCAATTGGCTGCTCACACACGCTACTCAAGTGCTACTGGGGAGAATTTACATCTCCATCACATCATCAGAGGGGGATTGTATTTTTCCAGTCTCTTGTGAGTCAGTGGTGAGCGAGCGGGACGTGTGGCCGGTGGCCGGTGGCGGTGCTCCGCGCATACGCATGTCTGGGGGAGGAATCAGCTGCCTGGCCACAACCTGACCTCAGCCTTCCTCTGCGGTCCCACACGCAAACCTGGAAGCCAGAGACCCAGGGCAGGGCCTGGCTTCGCTGACCCCAGGTGGAGGAGAGCTTTGGTTCGAAGGCAGTGCTGGGGAGAGGGACTCTGATGCTCAGCATGTGCCGTAGAGAGAGGGAGAATGATGGTGAGGTGATGGGAGAGTGGGAAGGGTGCTGTTCCCAAGGCCCAGCACTGCAGAAACATCCACAAAAATGTCTGCTTTCATTGTACAAGACCTTGTCTCTTTCCTTTACCTTTCCATACCCCCATCTCTATCTCTCTCTCCCTCTCTGACAGCACTCCGACCTGTACTCCCGAGAGGGAGGCTACGATAACAGCAGAGCTGGATAGTATCACTGCTCCGATGCTCAGAAGGCCTTTGGTATGTTTGCTAAGAGCTGTCTCGGCACAGCCGCAGCCCAGGCTGAGACACGGGAGAGGTTTCCTGCCTCCCAGAGCTCCGGCACGGAGGACTGGGATCCTCCAGCCTCATGAGGTGTGAGCATCTCACCCTCCGCAGATAACCTCCAGGGGCGAGACAGGGTGCAGGGCCCAAACCTGCAAAAAGCCCACATCCATTTTTAAAAAAATCCCCTAAGGAATCCTCCCTAGCAGCATGTTGAGGATATCCGTGCTTCCATATCAACGCTCAGGCCTCTTGGCAAAGCCAGGCTGGGCTGGCAAAACTTGCTTGGTTATTACGGTTATCATTAGGGACCTCTGGTGTGAGGGTTTCACGCTGTTGCCTTGCCTTTCAGCAGCTGGTTGTGACACAAACATAGAAGCAGACGGCAGCTAAACCTCTGCTCTCTGCAGAGGAACCAGGAGCGAGCGTTTGCAGGCTGCTTTTCGAGAAGAGGAGTCTCCTGCAGCCCTCCCCTTCGCTCATAGCCAAGGCGAGAACTCGCTGGCCCCAGCTGTCTTTCCACCCCGGCTCTCTCGCCAGATGTTGGCCATTAGCGGGACCGTCACGAACCGGGGCTGGCCTCTGGGAGCAGCCTCCGTGGGACGTGGTGGTGAGCCAGGGTGTGCGTGTGCAAGCCGGCGTGCGTGCCGGCAAGTGTGTCCCCGCGGGCCGCCGTAACACAGCCGCTCCTTTGGCCCCCGGCCAGAGGGGAAATGTCTCCCTCACACACGCACGCTCTCGGGCTCCGTGCTCACCCTTGCCCCCTCGGTGCTTCGCAAAGCCCCCGGCTCAGCTGACTCAACAGCTGAGCTCTCTGGAAGCACGGGGCTGGAGGTCTCACGTCCCTCCTCCTCCTCCTCACGTCGAGCACACGCCGCCTTCCCGGAACGTGGGGGCTCCGGCTCCTGACTCCGCTCCCTCACGTCTGCCCTCCTGATTCAGCTCACTTTCTCCTCTCCTCAAAGGCACGGGAAGTCCAGCTCTCTGATTCATCCGCCGTGGGTCCTGAGGAAAATGAATCCTCGGCTTTCCTTTTCTGAGGATGGAGTGGGATCTGTTTACTCAGGGATGTAATGAAGTCATTTTTTTTTTCCCATTTATGCCAAAAGCGGAAAACCGTTTCAAAGGGAAAGGAGTGGGTTCAGATTTGGCCTCAGACAAAAGCTGAGTGAACTCAGATCAGAATCAAAGTCAAACAAAGCTTCTGGGTGGTTTGTCCAGAAGACCGATAAGCCTTGACCCATGTCCTCTGCCACCACAATCAGGAAAGGACTCTCTGTTATGGACAGGGCTACAGCCCTCTCTTCTCAACCCCTCTTCTGGCCACCCAGCCTCACCCCTTCCCCTGTTAGGACAAGATTTCAGCAGTCCCAGGGCCTGCTTAATCCATTAGGTCAATTCCTCTCGCAGAGCTGGCAGGGGAGCCCTGGAGTCCTGCTCCAGTCCTTTGGCATCACTCTGGAAGAGCTCTTGTCCCATCCACTGAACCCAGCAGGGACTGCGGAGGTGCCTAGGGACAAAGCAGAAAGCAGGACGGGCCATTATCTCCTAAAAGCAAGGACATAGGATCGTGCCCAGCTAAAAGCCAAGTGGGTCTGAGGCCAGGTTCATCTCAGAAAGATGCCTTTGACCAAAATTGAATCTACAGTACAATTGCCTCCAATGTGTGTGGTTCAGTGTTTGTTGTTGTCATTGTTGAGTTTTGTTTGGTTGATTTTTTCCCTCAGAGCATTGTCTGCTCTCAGGTTTTCACCACTTGGCACCAAGATATTGCAGCCCAGCTCCCCAGCAGATGCAGCCAGAGGGCATCAGGCACTGTGTGACTGCTTGGAAGCTGAGGAGATGCTCCTGGCCTGCCCTACCACAGCACCCACGGCGACTGCAGCTCCCTCAGCCTGGTTCTGAGGAGAAGCACCTGGGAGGCAGTGGGTAGAGCCCAGTGGCTGAAACCTTCAGCATTTCCATAAATGTCTTGGCCACAGAGTGTCAGTGGTCCTAGGGGTGGCCCCAGCTCCTACATGGGGCTCTGCTTGAAAAAAGAAAAAAGTAAAAATAAAAATAAAAAACAAGAGAGAGTGCAGAGCTGTGGATATTGTATTTACGAAAACCAATGTTGCTAAGCAGACGTGCAGCTGGGATTCACACCGGCTGAAGTCTCCTTCAGCCCCCCTTGGCTCCAGTCCCAGATATAATGACTTGTACTCGAGGAGCCCAAAGTCATGACTGCAAGGGTCCGGCTGCCAGATCCACGTCCGACAGAACTGGAGGTGGGGGCAATCCGTGGTCGTGTACCCCCCCCCCCCCCCCAGGACTGGAAATGTCATCATTGACTTCACTGGGTGCATTTCACTGCTCTCCAGAACCCCGTAGAGCGGCTCACTGACATCATTCCTACGGCCGGGCTTGGCAGAGGCGGTGGGGATGAGGCCCACAGCGGCCAGCAGGCCGGGGATGGTCTGCATGGTTTCCATATGTTAGCTCTCTCACAGGACTCCGTCTTTGCTGCTCAAAAGCCTCAAGTGCCCTCTTTAGCTCACCGGTGCAACAACCATGACTGCTGCCGTGCACGCAATTTGGGCAGATCTGCAGCAAGACACCCTGGCTCATGGGGGCAAACACCTGGAAATTCTTTAGCAGCTTCTGCTAAAGGCAGAGAAACTAAACGAGTCCCCCGCCTAGAGCCCTTCGTTTTTGTCAAATTGGCTATTAAATGGAAGGTTTTCCCTGCTGCTGGAAGACTTTCAACAAGCCACAGCAGGATTTTGGACTGGAGGCACATCTGTGCTTCTCCAAAGGTGCTGGGATAGTGGGCATGGGGGACGTCCAGGCACATGCCAAGAGATGGGCAGAGGGGAAGGGGAGAGGAGAAGGGACAGCTGGAGAAGTACCACAGCAGAAGGCCACTCCAAAACAATGGGCAGAGAAAGAATAAAGGTTGCCCTTGTTAATTAACATAATTACACCCTAGCAGCTGCAGTCTACAGGATCTGTAAAGCAGACTGTGTGTCACCAGAAACATCTCAGTAACACTTTATTTTCAAGCAGAAAGTTAGAAGAGCACAGATTTGACCTTATCTGGAGTAAAATACAAACAACTGTGTTCTCCACAAAACAAGACCGAGTCTGCATCTCAGCACTGCAAAGGCAGAGAAAAACAAAGGCTGTAAGTAATGCAACATAAAGAATAAGCATAACTTTTTCTAATGAGCTAGAGAACTAGCTCCTCAGGTATACTAATGAATTAATGTATGTGCACACTGTCACACAGCCAGATGACTTCAAAAAGAAGACAGATTTCACTGCCATTTGGAAAATGAGATGGTGAAGTCTTCTGCGCACAGTCTTGGTCATGAGCCTGTGATCAGGGTTTTATGAAAAATACTGCTGGACTTCTCACTGATGGAGAGAAGGATGCCAGTTCTGTTATCTCGGATAAAAGACAGCACTTCCTACAGCCGAGTTTCTCCTTCCAATAATATGTGTCATTGGGTTCAGCAAGGGAAAGTGCCAAACCTTGAATCATCAGGACTGCCTCACTGCAGTGACTCAGAGGATATCATTCGAACTTCTATTACCTTCTTCACCTTATTTTTCCTATTAGTTATGGTTAGTCAGGCAGAAAATGTTACATGGTCTGATTTCTGTTACCTGGTGTGTCAAACTAAGACTCCTTTCCGACTTTTCATTTGCACACACTGGTAGACAAAACACTCGCTGATTACTTTGTGGTGGTGCATTTTCTGTCTCTGAGATTTGGCCAATGCAAGATGATTTCTGGTGCAGATTTTGTTCTGGGAATAAAAAGACTGACATGTCGGTACTAGATCTGATCTGACTGGTAGTAAATAAAAAGTAAGCTTTTTGCCCCTGATTGAGAAAAAAAAAAAAATCAATTTACTGGAAGTGAACCTTGCTGTGGGAAATTAGCAATGCGAACAGATCACAGAGATCAAAGTTAGGTACTCAACTAGTGGGAGACCCAGATTCAAAGAGTGCATCAAATGCAGACTGGTTTGTTACATCGCCATGGTTCCTCTGACAGGACGAGACCGGTGTTCAGATCCCTCTCCTAAAGCACAATGAATCACTCACACAACCTGAAATAGCTATCTTGGGCAGAGGGAGAGCAGCTCCATACAGAAACATGCGGGATGGGGACAATGTCCAGGATGCCAGAGACTGAGCCCTTGGTCCCTACTACAAGCCAAGCAAATTTTTGAATTCTTGCTTACAGCACCATCAAAATGCTCTGGGCCACGTTACCCACGGTGGCTCTGGGCAGCCACTGTGCTCAGCATGAGCTCTTCAGCTCTCCTTGCCTGGCACATCTGACCTGAAGCACCGCTGGCACTCAGGAGGATCAGCAAGGACAGCTGGACTTCTCCCCGAGCACAAATCCAGTTGTTGAAGAGCTGAAGCAAAGCTCTGGATGCCTGCAGTGACCAGCCCAGTGCCATTACAAGGGTAGTCAAGTCCGATCTCAGGAGATGTTGGCTAGGCAGCTGATGAGCCACCTCACTGATAAGAAAACAGCAGGACCTAAATCTCCAAAGTTCCCACCAGCACCCCCAAAAAAATAGCTGAGATTTCAGGTGTTTCAGGCTGCTGGAAGCACTAGTATCAGTGGTTTAGGCCCATCTAAGTGCAGGCAACTGTCCAACAAGAGGGATCTCACCCCTCCCTTCCCTCGGTCTTGGCCATGAGTTTCCAGCACCTCCATCCATCCAACACTCGTGACCAACACCGGCCTCCCCATCCAGCTGCCAGCACATCTGTGGTTGTTTGCACGCTCATTTCTCCGCCAGATCCACGAGCATCCCAACCCACGAAGGGCAGCACCATTGCTGCTGCCAAAGCAAGGGAAAGGGCAAGGTCACCACTGGGGTGAGGGGTGAGCAAAGGCTTTGCCTGCCCATTTCGTGGCTGTCCACGGTCAGATCTGCTTCACACAAGTTTAGCCCAGCTTTCTCCACACGCTAGGAATGTTCTCCTCGACTGCCTCTGTAAACAACACCCAAAATGTGTCATCTGGTGGGCCCAGGCAAGTATTTGCCTCTTCCTCCCTCAATGCCCCGTTGCCTAAGCATAGCCCTAAAAAAAAGGCACATCCAGGAAGACTGCAAACTAAGACAGACTGAAACAAAAGCCACGCTCCACACCCACTCCTCCTCAGTGGGAAGTACGTGGTCCACAAGCCACATCCTGGCCATTCAGCCCTCAGCTCTCCTTATCAGAAGCACGGTCCCACTGCAAACCAGACTCTACCACCGCCAATAGCTCTGACTCCCAGCCAGCAACAACAGCCCTACAGGCCAGGAACTCCATAACCTCTGGGTTTCCCCAGACTGTCAAAAGGAAGCACTGACAACAGAGCCCAGACCTCGTGTCTTGATTTTCTCCCAAGCCATGCCTGGTGGGGCCCTCTCCTCTGATGCATAAGGGGCTGCCTTTGGAGCTGGGCACCATCTGTGGGGTCATTTTCTAAGGGTGTACCTCACTCAAAGTCATGCATTAGCCAAAATATGGGAAACCTGGCTCCCAGGAGAGCTTTGCAAACTACTCCCAGCTGCTTTCTGGAGGAAGCAATTCCCAGTTGCCAGCTTGTGGCCCCAGGGTAAGGAGGGCACACCTTCCCTGCGCTCCTCCCGCTCTTCCCCCCCTGTTCCCAGGTGCTGGCCCATGGCCAGCCGAGGATCAAGAGAAGGTGGCCGCCCCTCTGGCTGCCCTGCTTGGAGGCAGCAGCTCCAGCACCGCAGGACCAAGCCATCCTGACTGCAGAAAGGCTCTGCCGAGGCCACTGCCCCCAGCTCTGCCCTCCTAGCCGGCCCCATTCCGCTCCAAAAGCCCTGCTGGCAGAGAGCCTCCTGGCTCCTGAGAAAGCGTCCCCTCAGGGGCTGCTCCTAATTGGTGGTTTCCTCCTCTCCCTCTCATGTTGCTGCGTTTTGCTCCCTTGCTCATATTTTATAAGGCTGGTTTATAATACCAGCTGCGGAGGCTGCCAGATCTCGTTCTACCTTCAGACTTCCACCGCAGGGCGAAGAAGTCCCGTCTGCAAAGCAGGGAACAGCTGTGGCTGTGTGCCTGGGTGCCGGCAGGGCCGATGGGCCCACCCAGAGGCCTGTAAGGACTCCCAGCTTTGAGGCTTCAGCTCCTCAACCTTTTGGAAAGTACCTAAATTACTTCGCGATCTTAGAGGTCTTTTCCAACCTAAATGATTTTTGATTCTAGATACCACAATGATGGGCGCAGTACCCCAAAGAAGACAACCTGGGAATGGTTTCCAAAGTGCACTCCTGAACTCTGCTAAGCCACGGCATGGCACATGTGTCGAGCAGGCAAGGTGTCCGCAGCCTGTAAGCATCCTGAACATTACCCTCCTGTGACCTGTACATCCTCCTTCTGCCGGGGATTACGGACTGAGACCACCTGGAAACACCAGTGCCTGAAATGCAGATTTATTGCTGTATGCCCCGGCTGCTGAGGAAGGAGTGACTGGACGCGAGCAATTTGCCAGGACATGGCAAATGCCCAGGAGAAGCCTTCTGCCTCCTTCAGGCACAGAAAGCAGGAGCTGGGAGCTGATGCCCCTCACTCACCCATTCCTGTGTCACACTGTCAATCTGCACCAGGAATCACCTTTCTCCTCGCCCTGACAGCGAGCCCTGACTCTGGCAGGGCTGTAAGCACAGCAGGGCTCGTGCACACCCCTGTTTGCCCAAACAGGCAGACTCTGTGCCCGGGGAGCAGGCTGCAATGGAGGCACACGGCCTTGGCTGATCAAAGCCACAAGCAGTCCTCCGGGAGGAAGCCCCGGCTGAACTCTGTGGCGGCAGCTGCAGTCCCCGTCCCCGCAGGCAGGCTGTGGTGAGGAGGAAGCCGAAAAGGCCCGGTGCAAGCACAGACAAACCCTTCCTCCCTCCTCCCAGCAGGCTGGCCCGGCTCCTCACCTCCAAATCCCCTGCCAGCCCCTGGGCCTGAGCAAATCCACGAGTTACCCAGCCTCACCCGTCCTCCCGCCATCCCTCCTCCCCGCTCCCATCTCGCCACAGGCCCATGGCCTCTCGGAGAGGTTTCTGCCCTGCGAGGAGCCCACACACGCTGTGACTACCGAACCCCACAGGCGGCTGGCAAGCCATGCGGGGCTGCTTGTGCTCCACTTTGCAGAACTGGCCAGCATACCGGGAATTACAAGTGTCAGATATCACAGGCAAATCTCCAGCTGGGTTTCCCATTCAGTGGGGAGCTATCGGTTCAACAAACAGCAGCAAGTGCCTCCCGAGCGTAAGAAAGAGGGGTGACCGTCAGGGAAGGGTCAGGGCTTGATCCCCGGCATCCATCCCTCCTCCTCGCTTGCTTGGGAGCTGAGGATGGGTTGCTCTGAAGTGCACCGCCTGCATATTCAGGCGGTCTATCTCGCATCTCTGATCCTTTGATCCTATTTGCATACAAATGTCCTCGGAGATAAGGAGCAAAGGAGGGGGACAGAGGCAGGATTGTTTCTAGAGAGAATGGTGTGCTCTCTGCTTTCCCATGAAGAATCGGGAGGGCCGAGTCCCTTCCAAGCCACCGGCCTCACTGTGCTCTGGGGCCAAGCCCCACCACCAAGCCCGGGCAGCAGGGCACCACAGCTCCCAGTTCACAGGGAACCTCCGACCCCGTTGTGAGGAGGTTCCCAACAGAGCTGCAGAGCATTAGGGCTGCCAAGAGGGGTGAGGGTATATTTCAGGGTGGATTATTAGGAATCGCTGTACGCATTGCAGCAGAGCAGAGAGGTTCCGGGTGAAATCACAGTTTGCAGGCACAACACACACACACAGCTTGTAGCCTGGAGGGGCAGATGTTGCTGCAAAAGGTCACAACAAGGCACAGACCAGAGGCTGTCTCAGTCCCAGCTGAGTGCCTCAGCTATCAGGTAACACAGTTGATTACATACAGGGAGGGAAAAACACTGGAGAGAAGTGGGGGCTGTACAAGAAAGCAGGTAAAGTACACGGGAGCCTCAAGCAAGGAGTTTCACCTGCACAAATCCCCAGCAACAACCATAAGGCAACCTGATGCAAGGACGCAAAATATCCGTAGAAGGAAAGACAACTGGTTGTTGATGTTGCCCTCAAACACACAAGGATGAACAGATATTCAGTAAGATGAAGAAGCAACCAGTTCAAACTTCATCAAGGTAAATAATTTCTTTAAAACACATGCAATTGGACTAAGCCATCCTTAACACAAGAAGCTGGGGAGACCAAGAATTCAGCAAGCCTTATGGAAAAAAAAAAAAAAAAAAAAAAAAAAAGTGTACAATGATGTGGAAGGAAAAACATAATAATAACAATAGTTAACAGGACTTTTGGAAAAGAAGTTCAGTTTTGTATTCCTGGTCCCAATCCCATCTCTAATGGGTAGGAACCAGAAAGCGATCCCAAGTGTTTGGAACAGATTATGTTACATCTGCCTACTGCAAAGTTCTTGCACCTTCCCCTGAAGCATCTGGCAAAGGCATCAGAGACAGCATCAGAGCATCAGCACACCAGAGACAGGTCCCTGGAATAAATGGATTTTGGGGCTCATCCAGTTTGGCCATTCCAAGGCTCCAGAGTTTCCAGGGTCAAGATTGCAATCTCCGAATTTGTGTATACAAAGTCTTGTCAGACACCAGTGAAGTGAAGCCATTTGAAGTAGCACTGTGCTTGTGATGGGTTGTGGATCTCATTATACTGTTGCTGGTTTTCCTTAAAGCTCCAGATCCTGATGACAGATGATTAGGTGAAAACACGCTTTCTACATAAGACAAGTTTCTAGTCCTCTTCATTGTGAGGAAAACTAAAAAACGTGATTCAAAGGCAACTTTAAGACTCAGAAACCAAGAGGCAAAGAGAGAAAATGAAGCATATGTTCTTTTATAAAAGCTTATAATTTTAAAGTTAACATAAATTTTCATGGTCCAGCTTGAGATATCTGAAACCCTGGGGCTTAGAATACTGAATTTAAGGCAATATGAACTTCTTTGAGCTGCCTCATATCTCAGTGCTTGCTAGCTTCTCTCAGTCACAGGGTTTCCGCTCAGCAGCTCCTCAGAAACCCTTTTCTGTGGGGTCTGTTTTCCCCCATGGTGCTGGCTTTCTGGATTTCATCAGACATCTCATTCAAGTCACTGTTTTTTTCTAAAGCTCTGGCTTTCCGACTCATGCAATTATGCGAAAACATGCATCTTATAAGGGAAAGTTCCTACTCTTCAGAGCCGCCAGAAAAAGCTAGCAATGGAGCCTGGATGTAACCCCAAAGCCCAGTATTCCAGGCCCGAGGAGAACACCGCTATCTTCTTCTATCTTCTTACACTATTGAGGCATTTATGATTTGAGGGAGTTGGTTCTTGGGTCACGCACCTGAACTCCTGAGGGCAACATTGCTCTCCACACCCCTTGATTTTGAGCAGGTCTCCCTTGAATTCAGCTTGCTCCTACACATCCCCAGCTTTCCACCGCTTCCTTTCTGACAGCTAAGAAATATTCTGCAGTAGTCTGTATCCCAGATTAAAAAAAAAAAAAAAAAAGACTTTGATGTTCAGTTCCTGCCCTCAAAAATTGGAGCTTTGGCAGGGTTGGCTCCAGCTCAGACACTTATGGCATGTCCTCAGTGTGGCCTGGGCTTTGGCCCAGCAAATGTCACCCTGGGGCTTGGTTTCCCCCCTCCCTCAGCTTGGCCCTGCTGCCCTTCTCCTCCCTTGTCCTAAGGCACAGTAGGGACAGAAAGCAGTTCCCTTCTTCCCCCTCCGCTCCATTCCTGACTCCCAAATCAGATGGGTTGGGGGTGACAAGGAGGTGACTCCTAGTCAACCTGGCAAAGGTGAAGCTCGGTTTCCTAGTGCTGTGGGATTTTGCCTCTTGTTTCTACAGCACAATACCCCATTGAGGCTTTCGGAGCCCCAGAGGCTTCCTGACTGAAATCAGAAGGATTTGGACGTGAAGATGAGGGTGTTAAGTTTGCACAGGAAGCAAGTCAGCACTCAAACCCAGGCTCAGACCCAGCTTTAGCATACCATGTGAACATATCCACGTACATATTTATTGTTCTGTGGCCAGCGCCTGGTGGCAGCATCCAGAAGGTGAGCATGTGTCCCTTCTAACTCTGTGCAAGCTGCCTGGCGAGGGGTTTGCAGCGTGCCCCTCACCCTGCTGCACAGGTGGGTGAGGTTTGCATCTGTGCCTGCTGCGCACGGGCAGAGCTTCCCAGGGAAGGTGTGCTCTCCAGCTCTTTCCTGTGCCAGTATTGCCGCCACCTGGAGATGAGAGGAATGAAGGGCTCCCAACTGTTTCCCTACCTTCATCCCCCTGCCTTTCCTCAGACGCACAGCACCCTCCTCTACCGCAGCTGGACGGGGCAAGCTGGCAGCCCCCCAGCTGCTGTGGTTACCCCACTGCGAGCCAGGGCCCTTCTGCTCTTGGTAAAAAACACTGCTCCCGGCCACTACGGGCGGCTTTGGCTGAGGAACACAACCCCACTCAGCGCTGCACCTTCAGGGAGGAGGCAACTTGCCCTGGGCTTTCCTGTCCTCGTTAGCTCGGAATTTAAGCTGCAGATCCGTGCGAATGAATACACGCTTGTGTGTTTGGCAGAGCTGTGCATGCGACGGAGAAGGGGTTTTCTGCACGTATTTTATGGCACTGTCTGGGTAGGGAGATGGGAGAGCGAGGGAGTTTCTGCTCTGCATGTGCACGTGCACGTTTTCATGTTGTCTGCACGTGTGTGCATGCGTATGTGCATTTCCATATTGTGTCTAATAGGCTCTTTGTTTCTCCAGAGAAGAAGGAAAAGGAAATCCGCATGTAATGAATCCATTTATTTTATGGAGCTCCCCCGGAGAGGGGCAGGGGAGCACAATTTATGCAAAAAAAACAGGCAGCTGCTGTTGGGAGGGGGACATCAATCTGGTTTTGATTTTCGTTCATAAGTGGAGGTGGCCACACAAGCCAAGGCCTCGTAAACTCCCTGTAGAGGAGAGTGGCCCGTTGGTGTGAGGCTGTCAGAGCCTATCTGGCCGTTAGTACCGAGCCCCTCTCCTCTGCATCCGACTAATTCCAGCCCTGTTCTGCCTTACCAGGACGTGTTTCCCCCGTGCTGAGGCCTCCCAGCAGAAGACAGAGGCAGAGCTGTACCGGGGCACAGGCTGAAATCTTTGTGTGGAAGGGCAAAATGCCCTTCACAGAGCACACTGTACACTACAAAAACAACAACAGCATGACTTGTAAGCTACAGCCCGGCTCCTCTCTGCCATTTAGAAAAAACACAGGGAGGGAGATGGGATGGAAAAATTCCTGGGCTGAAGGAAATGGCCTGGAGACTACACGCCACTTCTCCGTCTTTTTTCCAACCCTGCCATTTTGCAAAACTCAATGCATGTCGTCCAGACTGCGGGTGCAAAGCGGAGAGTTTCCCAGTGAGAAAAATGTCTCAACAGGGGCAGAGCTCTCAGCAAAATTCTGTTCTATTATCTGATTCTTCATCAGAACAAGAGTCTGTGGACTTTATCCATCAGTAGCATGAGAACAAACTGCCTTCAGCGTACTCTAACCCACACTGTAACTGCCCCATATGACAAGAAAACTACACGTGGCTTCCTGGTGACCTCCCCCAGATGCCTGTGCCAGACCAGAGATCATATGCCGAGAAGAATCTAGCTCAAAACCTCACTCAGGGTCTGTATTCTTCACCATCACCTTGTGCGTGCCCAATGAAGGTGGGCAGGTAAGTGGAGAGCAGATCTATCAAGTCAGAAAACAGAGAATGAAAAGCAGTCTTTTCCAAAAACTGTCCGCACACACTACCAGCAATTGATTAGTGGGTGAAATTAATAAATTTTCTATTTTTGTTACTCTCTGTATCTGTGATTCCTACAGAGGACCCAGATTCCCAGTTTATAAGACAACCATGCTAAAACATGCTCCCAGCAATACAGTCCCTGGCATCATGTTGCTCTTCCATTACCAGACAGTTCCAAGCCTCTTATCCTCTAGCACCTGAAAGGAGAAAAAAAAAATAAATTAATTAAAATTAAAATACCTGCTCTGAAGTATAAAGGCCATGTATGCACTGATGTGAAATGCTGACCTTAGAGTAACTGCCATGAATGTTGGTTTCTGACACCAATGGGATCAGAGCCTCTTCCTGAAGCCAAACGTGGTACATCAACTGCCCCATCAGTTTTTAGGCCAAGAGAAGGAACTGCTTTTACAGGTCAGGCTGAAAAAAAGCTCCTATCATAGAGTTTGATGGATGAAGCACTAGGTCACAGAGCTTCTCCCAGCAGAAGCTTTCAAGAATCCATCCAAAACCAAATTGGTTTGGAATAGATCTAATCACACACTAACTCTCAGAACTACTGGCCTTAAGAGGCCTCAAATGTACAGTGAAGTGCTATCATCTACGCTTGCTCTTTGAGAATCCTCAATTTAATGATTTTACTCCATTTGAGAGACAAGACTGAGAACCAATGACCAAAACACTGTCCAAGTCAAGTGAGGAGCACAGTAAACAGGTCACCTTAATGCTCTCATGGTTTACTTTTTCTTTCTTTGTATATAAACATGGGTATCTTTAGAGGCATGGCAAAGGATACCTAGAATTCATGAAATGTTGAACTGATTTGCATCTCCATCTCATTGCATGTGCTTCACCTCCATTTATCAATGTTTCAGTTCATACATTGGGGACTGAACATCTTATGAAATCTTGGTTGACTGGGGCTGCATCTATTAGAGTTTGCCACTGATCCCTTCAGCGACAGCTCATGCAATTCTTAATTTTAATGTGTTCATCTTCACACAGACCTACAGGGAAGAGAGGCACAATTACACCCCAGATACAGGTAAGTCCCTGAGGCACTCAAAGACTAAGGTTTGTTCCACATTGCAAAGCTCATCCAGCCAAAGAGGGCTGCTGATGTACCTGTGCCAGCAAAAACCCTCATGCAGATGCATTTAAACTGATGCAACACTATAATGTCCTCATGGTTGTCACCGGGTAAACAAGAGAAAAGCCCACAGCTGGGAAGGGAGCAGGCAGAAAACTGTGCCCAATCCAGCAGAAAGCCTTCTAGTCAGGCAGACCATATTCCCACTAGGTGGCTCTGCCAATGTAGCAATGCCCTTGATCATTTGGTAATTACTCTAAGCTATTATTTCTCAAGTACAACCACACAGACCACATGCAGGTACCCCGTACTTCATGAGCAGTCAGCATGCAAAAGCTTGTGCTTGCTATTCTGTTAGAGATTGACTTTTACTTCTAAAAATGTGTAATTTGATCAGTCACAAGAAAAGCATGCTGGAAAAAGCACTTCATGGCTTACCAAGGTCATGCAAGAAGTCTGGGGCAAAGTACAAAATTGAACCCAGGTGTCCTGCATCCTCAGCTAGGCACCTAAAAACCTGGATCGGATGCTGCATTAGAAGCAGGACAGCCTGGAAGCATCCCAAGAAAATCCATGCAGTCATGAAGATGTAACAACTCAGAAAGGAGGAAGCAAAATAACCCTGGGAGAAAGGGGGAGCTGCCTTGATGGATGTACGCGTAGCAGGGGATGCTCACCTAGGCTATTACAGGGCTGCATGGCTCGCTGAATATGCCCCAAAACAGAATTACAAACATCAGCACATCACGCTGTGATACGGCACTTCTACAAATACACAGCTCTGAGGCCAAGGAGAGGAAATCATTTTCTGATGAGGTTCAGAAGAAGCCTTCATACACCGGGGCTGAGGGCTGTGCAATGGGCTTAACAGCAGCCATGAGTACGGAAGGTTCCAGCCTGGCCTAGGGGCACCCACAAAGGGCAGAGTAAACTCTGCTGCTCCTTATGCAAAGCCGACAGGAGCGTTGCTGCTTGTTTGGAAACAGTCTGAGGAAATGAGGAAAGTTGTGAAGAACTCCGAGAGCCTTGTCCAGTTCGACTGGTCAAGAACAAAGTCCCTTATAGCAGCAAATAACAGCGTGGCTCCTGCTCCTTCACCCAGGAGGTGATTTCCATCCAAAGCTGCTCCCCAGGAATTACACCTTTTCAGCCAGCTCTCTGTGTTTCCTACTGACTTGGCCTAATGAAAGTGACTCCCAATCAAGACTGGCTCAGTAAAGCTCCTACTGGATCAGAACTGACCTCAGCTGGATTCTGTCATTTCCAAAAAGCTCCCGCTGTTTTGGCTGACTGTCCAAGCTCCAGGAAAATTGCATGTAAGCCCGGCACTGGCAGAGTGTTTCCAGAAAACAGAGGGGACGAGAAAAGCCAACAGGAACCAACACGGTGAGTTTGCCTGAAGGAAAATGTTTGCAGCAATCCCTGCTCTAGGACTACTGACCCCAAAGAGGACACCAAGACAGACATCCTGGGCAGACTGACATCCCCAGCCCCTTGGCCACCTCCTTTCTAGCTCTTCTTGACTGCTGCAGGTCTGGACAACAGCAAAACTTCACGTGGCAGCCACTTGCAGAGAGATTTGTCCCTACGAAGAGCTATTTCTCTTGCAAGGGGCCAATAACACAGTCCCAAAGAGGACACTCACAAGCACTCTGCACTTTGGAGATGAGCCCAGCAGCCCATACAGAATCACACGCACTCTTCCCCTCTCAAGCCCTTGGCAGAGCAGGGATTCAAAGCGATCGCCTGGATTAAATGTTTACGGCCACTTAAGCATCTGCCTGCCGTGCAGGGCCCACCTGGCCAGGCAGGCACACCTCCCCCAGACCCCCAGCGGGGCCACAAGGCTTGCAGGCTGTGTGGGCTGCGCTGCTTCGGGGCCGACGAGCCCGCCGCCTTCCCCTCCAGCTGCCTTGTCGGCAGCGTCCTGCTGACAGGTTCAAGCCGTGCAGAGAGGCTTGTTTTCATAACCTGCTCTCTTTTAACCAAACTTTCCCAAGCTTAGTCCTCTCTGCTATAGGCAAGATCACCTGCTGCTCGGGGCGGATTCGGAGTCTTAAAGGGAAATTGCAGAAAAACAGAGTGACACGTAGTGGTGTCCAAGGAAGAAGGCTCCACCGTAACAAGCTCTGGAGATGCTCCTCATACTGACCTGCATTCCAGCCCTGGGACACAGCACACTGCCCAGCAGCTGACTTGGAGCTCTGATCGATACCCTGCCATGCTGATCTACCCATAAGCTAATCACAGCTCAGCTCTGTGATTCTCAGTAATATTGATAAGCACGCACGTAGGGTGGCTGAGATTGGAAAGCACCTCTGGAGGCCATCTGGTCCAACCCCCCTGCTCAAGAAGGGCCACCTAGAGCCAGATAACCAGGGCTATGTCCAGATGGCTTCTGAATATCTCCAAGGAGGAAGAGTCCGCTCCTCTCTGGGCAACCGGTGTTGGTGTTTCATCACCCTCAGGGTAGAAAAGCGTTTCCCGATTTTCAGAGGGAACCTCCTGGGTTTCTGTTTGTACCCACTGCCTCTTGTCCTGGCACCGGGCACCACTGAAAAGAGGCTGGATACTTCTTTACACCCTCCCTTCAGGCATTTATATACATCGATGAGATTCCCCCCCGAGCCTTCTCTTCTCTAGCCTCAACAGTCCCAGCTGTCTCAGCCTTTCCCCATACGAGCCATGCCCCAGACCCTTCACCATCTTCACATGAAGGGCTCTCCCCAGTATGTCCATGTCTCCCTTGCAAAAAAAAAAAAAAAAAAAATCTGGAGTTTTTAACTGAGCTGTCAGCAGCAATGCTCAGCTCTTAAAGTGAAGGAATTAAATTAGAGCGCTTGAAGATGACTGAGCAAATGAGTTTTCTCCCAAGCACGCATTATCTTTTAGCATTCGACAGGGAACTTAATTTGCCATTGAGCTGCCTTTTCAGTAAGCTTAGCTGGGTCTCTCTGAACTTCCTCACAACCATCCCTAGTCTTGACCAGCCTAAATTTGGCCAGCGCTCACATGCTAATATTTAAAGCCCCTGCAGTGCAAATGAAAAAAACATGCTATAACAGGATTCTAAACAATGCCATTTGGTTTTGGTCTTAAAATTTTTGTATTGAATTTCATGCTCTTCAATCCACACCCCTGGAGACCAAAGCCCCTTTCTTACCCAAAAGGAACTGAACAGGCAAGATGAGAACAAGTTTCTTCACAGTATGCTGGAGGATCAGCTTCTGCGTTCCCTAGCGAGTTCAGACTCTGAGGAATATTTAGTCCATAACTTCTTTGATTAAACTATCAATGAGAGCAATGAAAGTCCGATGCCTTTTTGAGGCAGGGCTACTCTCGCCCACTAGGAGCTGGACTGCAAAAAAACAACTTATTTCACACATGTGCTGCCAAAGAGCTGTCAAACGGGAACGGCTCATTGTGAAATGTTTTTGTCATGAGAATGAATATTCACTCAAGAACAAAACCAAACCTATCAACCTCTCCGACTTCAAAAACAAAAAGCCCTCTGGCCCAGAGTTTCGAAGTTGTTCACCACCCTTGTGAGCCGGGATCCAGCACAGTTCAAGAGCCGCTGCCCAGTAGGGCAGGGAGTGAGATCCCAAACAGGTGTGGACCAGGTGTGAAAAAGTGGAAGGTTAACACACCCCATCCATCACTGGACAGCACATCTGTAAAAACGGAAATAAATATTAACTCGAGGCAAAATCTTGTCTGGAGATGAGCACAACTCTCCCCAGTGGCAACTAAGGGATATCATGTGGTGAGGACTGCAGCTGAGCTGATTTACTGCTAAACTGTGCTTGCATGGCTGCAAGAGGCTCTCGTTCCCTCACTGCTGAATTGCTTCTCCTCAGTACAAGAGACAAAGAGTCCTAGTGCTCTACTGAATATCTCTCGGGTTCATTTTTCCAGTTGCAAAGCAAACGGTTTGAAGTTTCATTGTCTTGCCAGACTCATAAAAAGAAACTATCAAATGCTAGCCAAATTGTGAAGAACAGCATGTTTTATGAAAACCCAATTAAACTCTGGCCATCAGTATCTCACTTTCATCTCTGCCGAGCACTGTCTCAGCTTTCTTCTTGTATGCCAAGCTCATATTCT